ATCGTGAATGCGTCAAAGGGCAGCTCCAACTCATACGCCATCAAGAAGAAGGACGAGGTGGAGCGCGTTGCCAAGGCCAACCGGTAAGCAGAGTCGCGGGATACGTCTTACCGTGTTTCTTTTGCCTTATCCTCGTTTTTTTCGTTTCCCTTTTGTTTTGTCATTACTCCTCCAACGAGTATTGGGTGCGCTTTCGTGTGTGAAATGTCCGTTCTTTAAATGCTTCTGTCACCATGTTTACTTTTTTTTTCTGGTTTTGTTGTTCTCCCTCTCTCTTTTTTTCTTTGGTCGCTATCCGCGTGTGTGTGTGGAAGGGGTGCAGTGCGCGGGTAGGGCCTGCTGGATAGACGCCGATGGGGTTTCCGCGCGGCAACGATGCCATTGTGCAGCAGCTGCAGGAGGATCGTCTCGCTAAGCTGTGCGACGATAACGCCTTTGTCAACGTCGCTGAGGTGTTGCGGCGTCAGCGACGTGACGGGGCACCAGGAGGCGTTGCAGACGTGGATATGGACTTTCTAGAGCCCAGCGCGTCACCTACCGCGGTGCCACCTCGCATTCATCTTAGTCGCTTCCTGCTGGAGCAGCACCGCGCATATCTCAAGGCGCTGGAGGAGGAACAACGAGAGGAAAAGAAAGAGGGTGGTGCATCTGCTCCCGCATCTTCCTCAGCATCTGTTGTATCATCTGTTGGTGATGTGTTGGAAGCTGCTTCGGAGCGCGGCAAGCGGTTACGTGGCATTGATCACCGTTGTGGTGAAGGGATGAAGCGGACTCGGAAGGAGCCGCACGGTGAGGACGAATACGACGACTGCAGCAGCAGCGGTGGTGGTGTAGAAAAGGGTGCGGTTGTCGCCGGACATCTAGGACGGGAGTACCGGAGTCTCCGCGCATGGCTTCAATCGCGGCGACTTGACCTAACTGATACACCGGCGGTAGCGCCAGGTTTCATGGCGATGACCGCCCCACCACCAGCCCACACGGGTGGGTATCATTTGTGCTCTGTGTGCCTGCTCCCTGCAAACTACAAGTGCGTGCGGTGCCGTAGGGCACTCTTCTGCTCCATTGAGTGTCATGTGGTGCATGAGGCGACACGGTGTATGAAGTTTATTGTGTAAGATGCGGGCTGATGAGAGGGAAAAAGGCAAGAAAAAAACTACCGTATAAAAATCAGGCTCCACAATCTGCCGGCAGCTGTTCCTGTTGCTTAATAAAGAAATGTTGCGGTGAACAATTTTTTTCTTGCTTCTTTTGTTCGCAGAATAACCGAGGCTGTGTGGGGCGATCTGTCCTATTCATCGTGACGAAGAAAGGGACGAGCGAATGCTCAATATTGGACAGCTAAGCGGCGCGGCTTTTTTTAACCGTGCATTTGACTCGGCAGTGATTCGTGAGGATCTTCTGAGCCAAAATGTACCACGACAACTTTCTGCACTGCAGCAGGTCCTTGCATTCATGACAATTGGGAGAGACATGTCAGGCCACTTCAGCGACATTGCCCCTTTATGCTCATCCACCAATCTCACAATAAAACGACTTGTCTATTTGTACTTGATGCACAACAGTCGGACGCAGCCGCAGAAGGCCGTTCTGCAGGCTGGCACCTTTGTAAAGGACACACTGAATGACTCCCCACTTGTTCGTGGGGCGGCACTGCGCACAATGACTTCGTTGCTTGTTCCAGTCATGGTGGATTTCATTACCACACCGCTGCAGCGCTGCCTGGAAGACACGGATCCGTATGTGCGCCGCATTGCCGCGTTGGGCACTTTGAAGTTGTACTACATTGCTCCGAACGTATGCGAGGAAGTTGGGCTCCTGGAAAAACTCAAGGACCTTCTCCAAGATGAAAATGCATGTGTAGTGGCGTCGACCGTCGCGGCAATTTTGGAGCTTCGCCAACTACACGCCCCAGCCGCTCTTGAAGAAGCCATTGTGTCAAATATATCTCATGTGCTCGAAGCTGCCGATGCGGCAACCGGGTGGTATCAGCATTACCTCATCGAGGGAGTTGCCGTGCCATTCAAAGGTGGTGAACCCACATTAGCTCTGGAGGAAGCCACAAGGATAGTTGACAGGGTGTTGCCTTTTCTTTCTTGCTTCAATGTCGCGACTGCCATCTCTGCTGTCAAGGTTGTCACTTTGTTCTTGCTCCAGGCGTCTCACCTTTGGTCGCCATCTGCAGTGAACGATAATGATCGTCGCAAGTTGTCACAGCTGCAAGAGCGCTACGGCCCACGTGTCGCATCGGCGTGCGTGTCGCTGCTATACTGCCCCCACTTTGAAGTGCGGTACGCGGTGTTGCGTAATGTTCACCTATTACTCATGACAGGACTGAAACGCTTCTTCAAACCGCACCTCAGCATCTTTTTCGTGAAGTACGACGACCCGATCTACATCAAGCTAGAAAAGGCAGAGATTCTCCTCGAACTCGCCGATGTGGATGTTGGAGAGTTGGTGCTATCTGAGTTTGCGACGTATGCCACTGATGCGGATGAAGAGTTGGTGCGGAAAGCGGTGCGCTCCATTGGATTTCTTGCCGCAAAGGTTGAAACCCTCGCGGCGCAGTGCGTTGAGAAACTTGTTGGCCTCATTGATACTGGTCTTAGCTATGTTGTTCAGGATGCAGCCGTCGTCGTGCGGACCGTTCTGCGGCGATACCCTGACAGATTCGTCAGCGTTGTGCCGAAGCTGTGCGATGCCTTGGACGAGCTGAGCAGTCCGGAGTCGAAGTCAGCTGTATTGTGGGTCCTTGGTGAGTACGCGGAGCGTGTAGAGAAGGTAAAGGACATACTTGACATATTTGTGGAGTCCTTTTCAAATGAGCCGAGGACCGTACAACTTGCACTGCTCACCGCCGTCGTAAAGATGTACCTGCGAAGCACGTCGAGCGCAGCGCAGTACAACACCACCACGCTGGAACACGTTTTGAAAATGGCGACGCATTCCCCACTGCCAGACATCCGTGACCGTGCGTTTATGTACTGGCGTCTCATAAGCAATGACCGCGAGGCAGCGAAGAAAATCGTTCTCACGTCGACAAAAGGCACTTCGTTTGTCGCGGTCAATAGCATTGAGAAAAACCGACTGCACAGTCTTCTTCTAGATGTGGGAGACCTCACGTCGGTATTGCATCGTCCTCTGCATCTTATCTACGGCGACGAGGTGGGTTTCGACGAGAACGATGATGACAGTGAAGACGCCATCGAAGAGCGACCTGCCAACCCTTCACATCCATATGTGGACACTGCAGCAATTCCAGGAGCGGTGGCAGACAGTCAAGCTGCAAGAAGCCCCGTTACCTGCGGTAAAGAGGCATTCCAGGTGGCTTTGACAGCCGAAGAGGGCAGCGGACTGGAGGTACGCATGAGCTGGTCACAACTTGGCAACAAGCTGTTGCTGAACTGCCGCTTCTCGCTCGTTCCTGGTGAAGACTATACACGTAGTGCGTGTGTTCGCATGCTTCAGATCAACAGGAATATATTTGGGCTTGGCTTGGCGCAGGAGTGCTCTGCAGTGTTTCTAGAGTTAGGCCAGAAAGAAGCAGATACGCTGCATTTGCAAACGGGTACAAATAACCAAAAATCCACAGCGCGGGATTTGCTCGTGGCGATCAACGCTGACCCGGTAGGAACACGTTACTTCTTTGCACCACCGGTGCCACCCGCCATGCTTCTGCTCCCTGCCACGGGTTGCGATGCAAATCTGTTTGCCGAGCAGTTTCGACAGCTCAAGACACCATCGTGGACAATGCCGCCAACAATAAAACTTCTCAGGACGGACTCAACGCGGTATACCACAAATGCTCTTCGCCTCTATGGCTTAAGCCTCGTTTATACTGGAGAACCGTGTGACTCCGGAATACAGCGTCTGTTCCTTTATGCAGAAACAATCGCTGCACAAAAGTTATTTATGGAAGTATCCATCCTGCATGAAAACGTTGTCTATATAGGGGTCCGGTGCAGTGATAAGAACGTCTCCCCTGTCTTTGGAACATATACAATGGAGGCCCTCTCCGCCACTGACGTAATAGAACTCTAGGTCACTCTCAGTTACGATTCTCCACTGCCCTGGTTACGTAAGTTCTGTTTACCTCAGGCGTACGGGTAATGATGACTAGAAAACACAATGTTGATTCATATAATGCGCCTTAATAGAGACTGTGCGTGCACCAATACTTCGCTTTCTTTTGTTCTTTCTTTCTTCACCCTTCTACGTATGTTACTTTGTGTAATAATCTAGGTTTCGCAAGAACAACACTCAATAATAAGCCTATTTTTATTAATAAAGATACGATGGAGTCAAAGAAGTACGTCTACTAC